TCTGCTTCCCATCCCACCACTCCCTTATTAAAGCCCCTTAGCAGCCAATCTTAATTTCATTTCTTGGCTGTGCCGGGAATTTATTTTTGAGAAAGAGAAAGGGAGAGAAGAGGAGAGAAGAGGAAGGAAAGGAAAGAGAGGAAGAGAAAGAGGAAGAAGGGAAATAAAAGGAGAGAATCTGGAGGGAGAGAGAAGAGAGAAAGGGAAAGGGAAGAAGGGATGAAGGGAATGAAGGAAAACTAACAAAATTTTTCTTAAGAAACTGTAATAACAACAACAAAAACCAACAACACAAAACAAAACCTCAAAGCTTGTTTCGATGAACACATATGTAAGAAAAAGATTAGAGCTATGTTCTTTCAGAGACAGATCCAAAAAGAAATTCCCTGACAGGAGTATATAAGCAGTAATATTAAAAACAGAAAACACTCAGAAAAAAGGACTTACACTGATATTACCAGTGCCTTAAGAATTTTATTTGTAGCTAAAAGGAACATCAGGAATCACCTACTTCAACTTTCTTGCTTAACAACTGATGAAACCAAAGACTGAAAGGTAAAGTCACAGAGAAGACCTGAGCTCCTTCCAATCTCTTTCATCTCCTAACTTCTTGCTTCAGGTGCTGTAAGGCTGAACCATTCAGTGAACTGAGGAGCACCTTCCTCCTCATGTCCAGTGAGGAACGTGGACAAGCTCCTAACAATGTCAGCATAGCTAACAAGATAAAAGGATGGGCATATACAGTGTCATAATTTTCTTAATATATTTATATTAGCTATTAGTATTTTATAATTATTACTAGCATAATTCTACAATTCAGGTATATTGCATGGGTTAAATAGCCTTTAGTGGGCTGTCAGTAAATCTAACCACTACGCATATTATTTCTGAGAAAATATATTCCAAGTTTCAAACCAAATTTTAAATGCTACCAAGTCACAAAGACTCAAAATTATAAACTGAATGTGATAAACTAAAAACACAAGATTCTTGACTTAATTAAAATTTCTAACACAAGGATCATTTGTTTTTAAAATCTGATACACATGTATAACACAAAATACAATTTAATCTATCTTTATTAATATTTCACTGGAAAACTTACATTAAAAGGAAAACATTTCTACAGAAAACATAATTATTGTAGATTTTTGTGAAGTTAGCTATAAGAGATAAGAAGAAAACATTACACTTAGGTCACTAATATATAGATAATTCAGTAGTGCTAGTTCAAAAAAAAAGACACAAGTAGATTATGAAAAGAAGTGACAGGTGTCAAAGAACCTTCAAATACATTCTTCTCTTTTCTTTCCAGATAAACTAAGTTTCATCAATTAACATTTAAGAAGTCTACCTTTTAAACTTTTCACTCAAAGGGTTAATTTAATGGCTATTCCTTATTCATTTTCTTTGTTCAATAAAGAAAATTGAGCCCTTACTATTTGCTGAACACTATGCTAGCACCCTTGGATTTATGACAATAAGCTGCATATTAATTCCTGTCCTCTGAGTTTAGGAAAAACTACGAGTTTGCTACATTTATTCAAGTGACAATGACAGCTAAATTTAAGAAAACATTATGAAATGTAATCAAGTTAATTCTCAAAAAGCCCTATACAGTAGTAATTTTAGAGACACTTAAAGTTCCCATCATTTACATGAAGTTATTCCACAAAGTAACCAAAAGCACTGCTTGGGTAAAAGTTTTAATAATATAATCTTTTAATATTTTTTGCTATGAAAATTGACTGCGTTAGTCTTCCAATAAGGAGATCAAAAGCTACTAGCTATTGTGTTAAAAAAAAAAATCAATCACTTGAAAAAGGCATCTTAAACTGTTCCTAAAATTAAGCAAAACGTACAATTAATTTCTGATATGAGAAACCCACATTATACATAAAGAGCAAAATAAAAGGTAAGAGGAAGTAGGGAGATGCATCTTAAATGGCAAGAGGATCAAGAGACAGAGACGGGGAGGGTATGAAAGAGGGAACTAAGATGTGTCATGCACACGTACCAACTCCATACTAAGAATGTGAATGTTATGTACTGCAAACGCGCACAAATAAAACCACCAGAGAAATTTTAAAATATATATATATATTATTTGGTATTAATATACTGCTATACAGATACACCTTAATAATAAGTAGAGTAGTTCCATATCGTATCTTACAAAAACCACAATTATGCATTTTGGATTTTGCCATCAGAACATTTTTAATGCAAATAGCTTTAACATTTTCTAGATATCTTACTTTTCACAAATTTAATGTTATCCTTATTAACAAGTTAGAACATTTTATCAGTATTAACTATACTTACATTTATAACTATATATTGGTATTCATGATAAATATTAAGTCTGCAATCAAAAACCCCTGACAGAGGATAAATTCTTTAAAACCGTATCTGTCCAAAGCAAAGGTCAGTGTAAATGTGCCACTGTAACACGGCAAAGAAAAACCTAAAGGTATTTTTTCATTGCATTTTACACTGAATTGCTTCTATTATTCGTCAGCCAAAATATTTTAAATTTTCTTTAAAAACACCATGAAAACATTTTCACTCTATGCATACTGCCTTGTGAAGTAATGAGTATTACCTCCACTTATATATTAAAAATCCAAGGCACAGAGGTGTCCATTTTGTAAATCGCAAGGTCATTTCCTAACCAAACAACTGATCCAACACCATCAACTTACACACACACTTCTTTCTTTCAAGTGCCACCAGCTAGTGCACCTTAAACCCGCTTCTCTAATGTCTACCTACAACCCTGTTTTTATCAAAAGGGTTAACTCAACAGTTAAACAAGGAAAGATGGAAAGGGATGATCACAAGAAGTAAAAATGAAACGTTTTTTGTACTGAATCATTTATTTTTTTAAAGTGAGACTTAAATATTTGTTAAGGTAACAATCAAGTAACCAACTATTGCTCATGTTTTCCAAAAAAAATCGTTCATCCTTCCGGTAGATCATGCAAAACTGGAATCTACTCATCCTTGTAGACAGAAGTTAGAAAAATAAGAAAAAAAAAATCTATGCATGATACTGCACAGAAAACTGAATTTAAAAATTCAGATAAATTAGGGAATGATCAATAGGGCACTTAAAACCCCACCTTAAATATAAAATACTTCCTTTCAACTGAAATCTCTGATTAGAAATCAAATACTTTGCTGCTGGAAAATACAAAACTTTTCTTATTCAATAATTGAATTTTTATATCAAATACTTCATTCAAATAGTAAATGTAAGTAAACATACTTTAATAGAAACTTACAGCATAAAGCATATACTGTTCCTCTGAGTTCAAACCAAGATTCCATTTGTGCTATTAACAATTTAAGAACTTAAAGTTGCCTACCATACAAATTAAAGACCATCAGGCTGAATAACCGATAAATCAATTACTTCAATTACTGAACAGAAATTAGATCTGCCAGTATGTTCATCTTAAACCAAAATTTTTTACAAAATTAAAATAGAACCCAAGGTACATCTTAGATTTTTTAAAAAGACCAGTTAGAACGAGCCCTATTAAGTACCTATTCCACCTGGGGACTGGTTAATTAATTAACCGGTACAGGACAGGTTGCGAACGCTCAGGTCGGAGGTGCCTTCTTTTCATCGTTATCCTAGTTCACCATCCGCAAGCGGAGAAGGTGTCAGAGCAGCGAAGCTAGGGGGCACGCTGTAGCAAGGGGAAAAGCAAAACGGGAAAGGTGCAATGGATGCTGCATAGTTGAATAATTATCTGGGCGGCACAATGGGCGAGTCCTGCCGACACCGGAGCTGAGCGAGCGGCTCCCTAACTCTGCCCACGGCACCTCCCCACTCCGCGGCGTCGGCAGCGGGACCGCCTCGCCTCCTCTTCGAACGGAAAAAATAAAAGAGAAAGAAAAGAATGCCCGCACCCGCTCTACCTCACGCTGGGACACGGACCCGCGGCGCTCGAGCCCGGCGAGC